ATGAGTAGATATAAGTACATATATACATAGATAGAGATAGGGAGAGATGAATAGAGTATGAAGTAGATAAGATATAGAAGTAGACATAGCTCTCGAGATAGAAATATATAGAGACATTAGAAGAGATAGGATATATAGATATATTATATATATCATATAGAGAGATATAGAGAGATAGAGATATATATACATGGAGAGATAAGATAATATGTAGATATAGATAGAAGAGATAGATATACAGGTGATGATATAAGAGATATAGAGATGATATATATATAGAATATATGAGAGGAGTATAAGATAGATGATATAGAGAGATAGAATAGACATAGAGCTATGATAGTAGATAGACTAATCTAATTCGTCGAGTTCGATATAATCTAGAGATATCTACCGAGATATATATTATATATACTCGTAATACACCTTCGAATATATGAGTAGTATAGAGAGATATATATATATAAGAGAAAATATAACAGAGAGATATGATTAAGATATAGAGAGATACAGAGATATATGTTATGATATCAAGTATAGATACATCCTATAGAATAGATGATAGAGGTATGAACGACATTAGAGAGATAAGTATAGATAGATAGAGCTAGATAGATATATATTAGATATATAGATAGAGATAGATATAAATAGATATTACAGATATAGAAATATATACATAGATATTAAAGATGAGCGATGAAGATATAGATAGTATATATAGAGAGAGGATAGATAGATACAGTAGTATAGATGATCAATATCTGAGATAGATAGATAGATATAAGGGAGTATATATATACATGTATATATATATTATATAGATATAGAAATATATATTATATATATATCTATATATATAGCTAGAATTATATATACGAGTAGTATAAGAGCTAGTAGATAACATATATATAGATATATATATATCTATTATGAGATACAGACATAACGTATTATTAGCTAGATATATATAGGATAGACGATATAGACATAGATGTATACAGTAGATATAGAGATAGATATCTATATGATATTGAAGAGAGAGATAGATATATAGATAGATATCTATAATAGAGGACATGTATAGATATATATATAAGATAGATAGAGAGAGAGAGATATGCTATAGCATATAGACAGAGACATTATATATATATATATATAGATAGATAGTAATAGATATATAGATAGGAGAGTATGAGTATAGATATATATACATCCAATATATATATGACATGGAGAGTATATATCTGATTATATATAGAGAATAGAGAAAGAGAGAGAGAGGGATGAGAGAGATAGTAGCAGAGAGATATACAGGGAGATAGAGATAGAGCTGAGATAGAGAGAGGATAGAATATAGGAGAGAGAGAGAGAGAGATAGATAGAGAGACAGACAGATAGAGAGATAGAGAGAGATAGAATAGAAGATAGAGATATAGAGTAGAGATAGAGAACAGAGATATATATAGTATAGAGAGATATATAGAGAATAGTATATATGGTAGTAGAGGAGAGAGAGAAAGCTAGAGACACAAATGAGAGAGATAAAGAGAGTGCGAGGTAGAAAATATAGAGATAGAAGGATGATAGAGAGAGAGAGATAGAGATATAAGATAGATGAGAAGAGTAGAGAGAGAGAGAGAGATTAGATATGAGAGAGAGATATAGAAGTAGGGATAGATAGAAAGAGATAGAGAGATTAGAGATATAAGAGATAGAATAATAGAATAGAGAGAGATAGACATCATCTATTTAAGATAAGATAGAGATATATAGAGAGAGAGGAGAGATATATATAATATATATACAGATGTGATGATAGTAATACATAATAGATATATAGTATCATGAATAGAATATCATGAAATAGATATGCTATATATATAGATAGACATACATACATATATATATATATATAGAATAAGAGATAGATATATATGAATTACATATATTAGCTATCGCTGCGATATAATATATATATATATAGATATATTATAAATATATGATGTACACATAATACATATTACATATAGATTATAATATATAGTATATATATAGATGATATATAATATATAAGATATCATATATATAATATATATATAGATGTTATAGATGTGACATATAGATATATATATATATAATGTAATATAACTATTATATATATATATATGAGTGATCTATAGATGATATATAAGATGTGTTACATAATATAACGATATATATTGATACTAGATATATAGAGATATAATATAGATAGATAGATATATATACATATATCCATATATATATAGTATGATATATGAATATATATATATAATATAGATAGATATATATGGAGAGAT